CTTTTTTGATAAACATAGTCTAGTAGAAATAAAGAGTTCTTTAGAGGTTGTGCCTCAATAAGAACTAAGAATAGAAAAGAGAGAAATATTTAAGACGCAAGGAGATAGATAATTGTCTCCTACGATTCATTTGAGACTCATTCTCCTCCGAATATCAGACTTGAAGGATATCAAGTCCCTGTTTATTTTTATAGATATATGGGTCGATATGCCCTGAACGTTATCTTTTATCTTTAACATGTATGTATTTTCTTCTTTAGAAACAAATGTATAGGTTTTAAAATCATAATAAAAAATGTTCGACTTATTTTAATTCTTCAAGTTGATGTAAATGCAACATATGATTAAACATCTGGAATTGCTCGGTACCCATTATAAATAATAAAGCTTGTGTTTCTTATATAAGTACAGGGGTGAATTTGGCCCCGAATGTGATATCCTCTGGTTTTCCATCTGGAGTTTAATATGAAACCAAGGGTGTCCTAATAGTGCATTATAGGAAGTGTCTATCTCAATGACTTGAAAGGCAACATATGTTTCTATTCTCCTGGCCTGAGCTTTAATTTGATGCTTGTTATGGCCTTTTGGGTTGCATGTTTGAAGCCATGTATCACCAGGATTGAAGATTGTTAGCGTCGATCTCCATGGCCTTTAATGTCATTAAAGAAAGAAGATTGATTGTTGATCCCCTGTCTATCATTATCCTCTTAACATGGGTGTTGTGAACGGTCCTAACTACCATGAGCGGCTATTATGTGACCAGTTCTCAGTTGTAGATCAACATCAGAAAAGGTCACGAGCATGACATCAGCTATTATGTGACTGTCTCGACTTGATCGACCTTAGCTTGAAAATTTTCAAGGAACAATAAGGCATGTATTAGTGCAGTCTGTAACTCTTTGGCCAACATGAGATCATAGATGCTAATGGCAGTGAGTATCTTCCACAAATGCGAGGCCACGTTGTATTTGTCAGAGTTATCAATTGGGTTTTGCTGTCTTGCGTGCCCTGTGGTGGCATTAGAGTTTTCGATACACGGTTCGACAATTGGTCCTGAAATCTTGGATGGGCCAGTATCTTTTAGACATTTGATTTGAGCAGTCTTCCTCCTTGATCTTAATTCAAATTCCATGACTTGGGGTTCAAGATCGACTTCTACTATCCACCTCATATAGCATGTGGAAATTGTTGATGTTTCATCTAATGTGTCTCCTTCATTAAATTCTTTAGTTGTAAGTGACATACATAAAGTCCTGTAGAGTTGGCAGTGGAGGTAAGGTTGTGACCGAGTCTTCCTCCTCATGGCCCATTTTCTGTTTCTTATTTTGATATCATGTATTGCCCTTTAGAGGAGACGGGGCATTCCTCTTCTAACCTTGAGACAATTGCACACTATCAAGAGTTCTGCATAATGCATCCTCTTGTAGGCAAAAACAACTCTTTTCAAAGCCTCGGATTGTAGGCATTTTCTTTCATTCTTTCTTATATAAATAGTCCAACCAACCTCGGATATGTCATCGGTAGTTGTGAAATAATTAAGGATCCCTGAATATTTTGAACAAAGTTTGAATATCTTGTGGTGAGGATACCCCTCTACCTTCTGTAGTATGGGGACTTCAAGGGCAACTCGTCATATTAGGGGCAAGGATTCCTCTTGTTTAGTCTCATAATGTGAGGGAGAGTAGGAAAGAACCGAGCTTCCTTGGTCAATGAGCCTTTGTAATATATCTCTATGCGTGTTGTCATAAGGGCAATAGAGCATCCATTGGTGGTCGCTATTTCTCCTCGAGACTCCTTTCTTTCTCATATATATAGGGCACATCCTTATAGTTTAATAACTTCCTTGGTAAGGAAAACTCTTTGTTGCTTTGGGAGACTTGTAGTCCTTGGATGTCAAAATGTTGTGTTGGTTGTTGTTATCCCCGATGCAGAAGCTTCTTGCTCATTATGCTTGAGTCTTGCTTCCTTGATAAGAGCTTCGATAATATCTTTGAGAAGAAAATAATCCTTAACCATGTGTCCAACCATTTGATGGTAAACACATTACTTATGTTGATCCAATTGCCCCACTTGATTTGGGTACCATGGTGGGGGCAATTTAATCATTCAAGATGCCAATAAGTTCTCTAGTATCTCGGGGACATCCTCCCTATCAAAAAAATATTTATTTTTGAGGTGTTCCTAGAATATACACCACTTTCCCCTGGGTCCACCTAGTCCTCGACCTGTGGGTTGCTATAATCTTTTGGAGGAGGGTAAGTCCTTTCTCTCCCATTTTGAGAGACCATTGTGGTAGCCATGACAGTCTTTGCTTGATTGCCTTTGAACTTTCTTTTATCAGCATCCTTACATGAGCTCTCAAGATTCACAATGTTGGAGATCCAATCACTGAAGGTTTGAGGTTTACATGCTTGTAAATGCAGTGTAATTTTTTATCTCATGTTTTTGATGCATATGTATGTCTTGTTCAAGCATTGGGGTAGCTCAGACATGTACACTTCTCTTTCAGTACTATGGAAGAGTGCCAAGAATGCCTCCTACATTTGTCTCTAGGTAAGTATTGGTGCCGGAGGCAAATGTAGGTCCCGACAGTGATTGAATGAATTGCCGCATTAGAAGATATTCATTATCATCAGTGTCCACACAAACCGATATAAATGCGCAAAGTATTGATGAGGTGAACCATGCCCATTAAATTTTGAGAATTTTGGTCACTGATATCCCATTGGGAAGGGTATCTCATCGATATAAGCTAGATATAGTTCTTGATAGGCATCTATCGGTCATATGCTCGAAAGGTGTAGAGACCGTAAGTTTTCCATTACTAGGTCACGAACCGTTTCAGCTGTCATGGTTGTACCTATTGGTTGCGAAGGCAAGCATGGTACTTGATTGTTAGCCAATTGGTTTCTTGTACTTGGGTTGGAAGATTACTGCTTTGAGGCGTCCTCTGAAGTGGTTCAACATTCTGTGCATGAAGCTCTACTTCCTTTTGAGCCAGTCTGGTTCTATCAAGGGGTTGTCTACTCCACCAGTCATCATCATATTTGCGAAGGGTTCTTCCAATATAAATCTAATTGATTCATTTTCTGACATTTGTAATTCCATTTTTGATGGTTCAAATGATACCATCTGGGCATCCATTGGCGTCGATCGGGTTTTCTGAGCCTTAATCACACTCTAAGGATGTACATTGGATCAATATGAACTTGGCACTGCTTATTACCTGTTTTCTTCCTCGAAGGCTTGGCAAGAGGAGGTCCTTCATTGGATGAAAGACAATAAATATGGTTAAATTTGAAAGCAACTTTGGTGTTTCGAGATTCCTTGCCCTTTTTATCATCTTGTTCTTTGACGAACCCCATTAGATTGCATGCGCACACCTCAAAGAGATCATCTTTCATCGGATCTTTCAGCACCAGTGGAAGTGGAAAATCTGCAAACATTCCCTTTGGATTTGTAGGTTTTAAAGCCTCACATCATTTTCGTTGTACATCAAGGTGTGACTATGCACAAAAAAGTTGGGCGTTCGGCTAACTCAAAGATAACCTTGGGCTTTAGGTCAACCAACCCTGCGCGCATTTTAGCCCTAAGATTTTCGTTCAGTTCATTGGCTTTCCATTCATTGGAAGCTGTGTGATCATTAAGGACCCTATGTGCTTTACTAAGGGCGGTTTTTACCCACAACCTTCGTGAGTGTGTGAGGGCAGGTTTCCCAAAGTGAGGTGCCAACAAGTTTGATTATCTAAGGTTTTGGTTTTTGGTCTTGGGTCACATTGAGTAGGACATCTGACCATCAACTTATGAGCACAAGAGGTAAGCCTGGGTGACTCACGCTCAAAGGGAGACTTGACCACTGGTCTATGGGTAGGAGATGTGGGTTCAGGCATGTTAGGCTCAAGAGGAGACCTGACTATGCGTTTATGGATAAAATATGTACTTCGAGATATTCGAGAGAAGACCTGACCGTCGGCTTATGAGTATGAGATGTAAGTCCAGGCAGGTTAGGCTCAATAGGAGACCTAACCTCCAGCCTATAGATATAATGTGTAGGTCTGGGCAAGTTAGGATCAAGAGGAGACCTGACAATGAGCTTATGGATATAAGATGTACTTCAATGTGCGTTGGGTTCAAGAGAAGACCTGACTGTCGGCCTATGAATATGACATGTAAGTCCAGGCGTTAGGCTCAAGAGGAGTCCAAACCTCCAGTCTATGGATATAATGTGTAGGTCTGGGCAAATTAAGCTCAAGGGGAGACTTGACTACTAGCTTATGGGTATGATGTGCAGGTCCGAGCAAGTTAGACTCAAGAGGAGATTTGACCATGGGGCTATGTATATGATGTGTAGATCCGAGCAAGTTAAGCTCAAGAGGAGACCTGACTCATGACCTATGGATATGAGATATACATCTAGGCAAGTTAGGCTCAAGAAGAAACCTGACCGCGGCCTATGGATATAATGTTACGTCCTGATAAGTTAGGCTTAAAAGGAGACTTAACCGCCGACTTATGGGTATAATGTGTAGGTCCAAGCAAGTTAAGCTCAAGAGAAGACCTGCCTGCCGACCTATCGAATGATACGAGGAGACGACAAACTTAGAGTGTTTGATAAACAGGGTACCTGAATAACCGCATGCTGCACATTTTTTAAAAGGAAGAGAGAGATAGCCAAAAGATATGATGCTCCTGTAGGAACATACTGTCCATTTGTTCCTTCCATTAAAGTTTAAGCCAGAAGTATTTTTTGGAAGTCAAATTTTGGGATTTAACCTTTTTGAACCTAGGCCAACCTCAAAACAAGAAAAATTCAACTCTCTCTGCATGCTAGAAAAAATATCATCTCAAAATTGATTAAAATCTAAAATAAAAAATTCTTTGGAAGTATCTCTTTTGCCCGAGGGCGAGGGACGAAATAAATCGTGAGGAGAAAGAAATAAAGAAATTTTAGAGAGAGAGAAGTAGAGAGAGAATGTGAAAGGAAGGGGTTCTATATATATAACGTCTGTATGTGTTTGGGAAAAGCTCTGCAATTCCCTCCTTTAATAGCCCTCTGTCTATCCAAGCCTCCACAAAAAAAAACTTCAATTTCATGGACATCGTCGATGAAAAATCTACCTCCGTTTTCCATCGCCTGATAGTGATCACCTCATCGCTGGAAAGTGATCGGGATTAATCTCTGAATCGTTTTCTGGCGACCAAAAAAGGCCTATTGGTCACCCCTTCTCTTTCTACCGATTTGTTTTCTCTTTCTCTCTCTACAGATTTTCTCTATCGGCATCGAGGCCTCGGATTCATTCCGGAAATTTCAATACCCTCTGCCCCTGTTGATGGCTTCTTATCTTGGGTATGTATCTTGGGATTCATCTGTGAAAGACCCTCTCTCTCATTTACTTGCACGTTGGATTCTAGAGAGAGAAGGATTTCCTCTGGTTCGATTTGAACTTTGTTTATTGCTATTTCTGGGTTCTAGGGTTTGATTCCTTGACTATAATTAGGGTTTTTTTTGTTGTCCGTTTGATGTAGGGGGTGATGTTCAATTTGTCTTATTTCGATCCATGCTTTGCTGCTTTTAGTTTTTTTGTTGGTATTAATTGAAAAGGAGAACTCTGTTGGGTTCTGTTTTGTTTTCCTTTTCTTTGATTATTTTGGATGGATTGTCTGATCTTTTCAGACCGCCTTATTCTTAGTGAGTCAGTTTGTTTAGGCTGTGGCATCTCTCATTTTTTGAATTAATTTGATAATTAATGGTTATTGAACTGTAACTTCATGTTTTCATGTTTGGATTATAGGCTTAGAGAGTATTTTTTCGTTGAACCCATTGAAATGCTTTCTCATTTTGGAAAACTCGTGGCTTTTGCCATTTATTGACTTCTAAAATCTGATGGTTTACAGCCCATAAGTGAGTTTCAATATTCTTAAGAATTGTGGTATTAAACTGTAATCTCAGGATCATATGTGGATACCTACTGTAAGAGTACTTCATTTTCATCCATCTATATACTTTTTTATTTTGAAAATCTTTTTTTTTTTTTGAAGCTGTATTTTGGAAATCTTATTGCTTTTGGGATTTGCTGATTTTGATAATGGGGATAGTTCACTGCCCAAGTGTTAATTTCCTCTCAATTTTCATAAAACTTGATTGTGGAATTCAGCAAGCTCCTGGAATTTCAGGGTTAACTAGTTTCTATTTGTGTGAATTTGCATGCTCTGCTTGTATGATGCAATTCAAAACACATAGATGTCTTGTTGCTTCAAAATTTAAGTGTATGCACATTTGCCTTAAATGCCAGGGGCATGCAGTTGGCCACTTGTGGTTAATTGTCCTGAAGGAATGGTAGTTTCACATAACAAATATTCGGAGTAAAGTGGACCTATTGTCTCTATTAGCTTTCAAAAGGAAATGAATGATTTCTTAGGCAGCAAAATGGTCTGATTATAATGCATATTACTATAATTAACTTGAAAAACAAAAGGCAATATTTTGACCTTATTTTGCTAGTAGTTTGTTAAAGTTGTTCATTGATAACATTGTCATTAAGAAGTGTATGGACTACTCTCACACCATCACCATAATCACCGTCCAACCCATTGACGTGATGATGATACCACTGTGATGATTCGATTTCTGTTTTATGTCCCATAACTCATTAGGGTGCTGAATTGTTTTATTAGTGTGATATCCCAACTGTCCAACCATGGAAACGGAACTTCCTAATTAAGTGTTTTATTATCATTTGATCTATCTTAGTCACTTTTGAACTCTATGAGATTTTGAATTTGGTTTGTTATTCCTATCTTTTGCTTGGAGTTGAGAGAACAAGTAGTTTTACAAATCGTTATTCAACTGCATGCCAGCACTTAGATTATTCATTATATTTTCTTTTTACAACCAGAGAGCAAAAGACACTTCAAGCTACATCTCTAGGGTTTGACGTGATGATGATATCACCGTGATGATTCTATTTCTGTGACTAATGTGTCGTGCTATATGACCCATAACTCATTAGGGTGCTGAATTGTTTTATTAGTGTGATATCCCAACTATCCAACCCTGGAAACGGAACTTCCTAATTAAGTGTTTTATTATTATTTGAACTATCTTAGTCACTTTTGAACTCGATGAGATTTGGAATTTGAATCGTTATTCATATCTTTTGCTTGGAGTAAAGAGAACAAGTAGTTTTACAATTCTTTGTTCAACTGCATGCCAGCACTTAGATTATTCATTATATTTTCTTTTTACAACCAGAGAGCAGAAGACACTTCAATCTACATCTCTAGGGTTTGACGTGATGATGATATCACTGTGATGATTCCATTTCTGTGACTAATGTGTCGTGCTATATGACCCATAACTCATTAGGGTGCTTAATTGTTTTATTAGTGTGATATCCCAACTGTCCTGGAAACGGAACTTCCTAATTAAGTTTTTTACTATCTTTTGATCTATCTTAGTCACTTTTGAACTCGATGAGATTTTGAATTTGATTTGTTATTACTATCTTTTGCTTGGAGGTAAGAGAATAAGTAGTTTTACAATTCGTTGTTCAACTGCATGCCAGCACTTAGATTATTCATTATATTTTCTTTTTACAACCAGAGAGCAGAAGACACTTCAAGCTACATCTCTAGGGTGAGAGGAGAGTTCAGGCAACGGGTTTCTTACACTCTCGGCGCTTCCATGTAAATAATGGCATTTTACAGAGAATGCAGCAATGGAATCGACTCGGACCACCTCTTAGGCGCAAAAGGTCATGACCCAAGTAACAAGAATGATGAAAGCATCCCTAGTTCAGCTGGAGATGGAGAGGTGCAAGCAAGTTCTAGCGACAAGGATGTTGTGGGGAAAGCTGATGATAGGTACCAAAGTGAGGAGGAAGTGGGAGATGATGATCACGTTCAGGTCGACTTAGGTAATAATACTATTGGAAAGAGGTCACAAAATTTTCAGCAACCAGGAAGAAGATCAGCCCTAGTTGGAAAATGGGGCTCCTCTTTTTGGAAGGATTGTCAAGTTCTGTTCAATCATGAAGAGTCTGACTCTGGAAGGGACTCAAAAAACATGGATTCTGATTTGAGAGGAGATGAAGGGTCCACTTCTGCTGGGGGAGCTGAACAACTGGAATTGGAAGATCTCGATGGTGGATTGAAGGATGGTGGTGAGAGACATAGGGGCCAAGTTGATGTCCCAGCTGATGAGATGTTGTCTGATGATTATTACGAGCAGGATGGAGACGAGCAGAGTGAGTCATTGAATTATAGAGCATCAAATAGTTCTAAGGTAACAAATACTGGTACGAATGGGAGGTCTCTTGCGGTTAAGAGGAATACCTCAAGGAGTTTAAAGTCTAGGAAGGCATATGAATATGATGATGATGATGATGATGATTACGATGGTGGCTATGGTAATTATGATGATGGTGGTGATGATGATGACAATGATGATACTGATGATGGTGATGATGGTGATGATGATGATTACAAAGAGGAAGATGAAGAAGAAGGTGCTTGCGTTTAATTTCTTTTGATATTTAACTTTTTTTTGTACATAAATGTATTGCCATTTCAGTGTGCTTATATATAGTCTAAAAATTAACTGTGAGCCAACTTTTCTTTTCCTCATGGTGCAGATGATGAGCTGGATGATGTGGATTTTAAACCTCAACATGGTGGCAGAAGGGTCTGTATGCGGAAGGTTAGTGTAAGATCTCATTTGATCGCAACTGGATACTAGAGATTATTTTTTTTGTGTCACGTTAAAAAAAAATTGAATTTCTTTTCTTTCCACTGTGAATGGATTGCCTAGGAATTTATGCTTGTTTCTAGACATTTATTAATACTGCTCTCTTGATGTTCTCTTGGGGATTTTCTCTAGTTGACTCACTTGATGAAATTGAATAACTTTTTGCATTATTTGCTCCTTGTGCTATGAGTTGAGGGTATCATACTTCTTTTGGGATTTTTTTTAGTTCTATCACAATTTGAAATTTATTTTTTGTATCTACTTAAGCTTATTCTTCACAGACAAGAATTAGCTCGGAATCATAATCTTGATGCGTGCGGCAGCATATTCCTTAGGGTCACAAAGTTATATGGATCTTAAACTTGTTATTTCATTTTATTTATTCTTTTTGATGACTGATAGATGGGGTTAGGTTATTTTACTGTGAATCTACTTAAGAGTTTCATTACAACTAAGCAAAACATGTGTGAAGGGGGTATTTACACTCTTATGGCTCTCGGCAGTTCTGAGTAAATTCATCGCCTTATTCCCCACCTACTGTTTCTTCAAAAGTGTAAGTGAGCTGGCATATGAATGGAATGTGTTTTGGTTGAATATTTGTACGTGATTACATTGTTTTTAGCATATTATGCTATTACCTCCCCTAGTTGAGTCCTTTTTCCCAATGTATTCTATCAGGAAAAGTCACTCTTTTCTTACCGACCAAATTTGTTTTAATGAACTAACCTCAAAAGCATCACATTTTCCATTTATTTTGCTTATAGGCTCAAGGATGGGAAAGTGACGATCACATTGAAGATGATAAAGATGACAATGTTGATGTCTCTGATGAAAGTGATGAGGATTATATGGGAACTTCCCATCGTAGACGACGTAAAGGCGCACAGAAAATGCACTCTTTGAGGAAACCGAAATCTTTTTTAGCAACTGCTCGTCAGAAACGTGGGAAAGCATATGTTGTGGAGGATGAGTCATCTGCACAAGAGACAGAGAAAGATAGTGACGATGATTTTGATGATAAGGGAAGGCGGGCTTTGAATGGCCGCAAGAAAAGTTTTGGAAGGCCTACCTTACCTGCTGACAGCACCTCTCGGAATCGAGAACTGCGAAGTTCAGGAAGGTCAGTTCGGAAAGTTTCATATGTTGAAAGTGAAGAAAGTGAGCAAGAAGATGAAAGTAAGATGAAAAATCATCCAAAGGTATTTCTTTTATTATTTATGTTTCATTCTTTTTCTTGGACCACTGACTGCTTGCTTTGCTTACAAAATCTCCATCCCCTGTAAAGTTTATGAAACTCTCCCGTTATTGTCTGCTCTAATCCTTCCTTTCTATCTTAAGTAATTAAACCTAGGTTTCTTTGGGATTGGAGTAGCGGTTTGAGTCTCATTATCCTTGCTGCCATCCATGAGCGTATTCCAGCTAGCTGAATTATGAAATTCTGCCTTGAACCTCTGATTTTTGTTGTGTTCTTGTATGATTTTGTGGGTTGACATCTTACTTTTAGTCACTGTATCAGGTCTAATATTATATGCAAATTTAAACGTTAAATGATGTCTATTCGCAATGCTTATCAATTATGATGATTGATTGATTAATTAATCTTCTAACCATGATTGCATGACAATTAGTGTTCTCTTTGATAATTTAATTCAACAATAGTGTTGTGGCATGTACAGAGAAATAATTATACTCAATGGAATGGACTAGTTTTAGGATGTAATTGCTTGGAGGAGGAGGTTTTGAGTTTGTAGCTCCTCTGCAAGTGAAAACCATTCTCTCTTGCTTGGAAGTGCAAAATGTGAGTACAGTCAATGGAACAATGATTGGAAATGCAATTTGGGGCGACGTTTCTTTAAGAACAAGTTTGTGCTATATAGTGTTCAATTTTGTAGAAAATTAGACATTGTAATAAAGGACAAGCCTGAAGTCAACATGATTCATTGATCAACTTGCATAGATGGGATCCTTGGCCCAACGTTTTACCAAACTAACTAATGGGATGAAAGGTTCCATCAAATAAAATCGAGTATAACATTAGTAAACAAAGAATCACTTATTAACCAAAAAAAAAATAAAAAAAAAAAAAGAAAAAAAAAAAGACAAAGAATGCTTTCTACAGGTGAAGTATAAGATTGATCAATGAGAAGTTAACATTTTTTCTTGACTAATTTGTAATGTGTCATTCAATCATGCTTTTCAAATATGGCATGCTGTATGATTGATTCCTTTACTGGATACTAATTTTTCGTGAGAATGTAACAAGTTGGTGATATTTTCTAGATTTGGATATGATAATATTTTTTTTTTTGGGGGTGGGAGTGGTTCAGTGGTAGGAATTGAACTTGAACTCAAGGCATAGCTAGTCAGGGTAGTGATTTAGAAATGATAATTCACGGTGAAAACTTCATGATGTTTTAAGATTCTGCTTTCTTTGGGGCCATTGTAATTGGTACCAACATGAATGAGGGTAACACAGTTCGGATGGTTGATTTACTGTTTTTCTAACTGGAACATGGATCATATGGCTTTTTGTTTCTGATTTTCTGAAGTGCATGTGATTCCAAGAGGGGCAACAAAAACCATGCAACAGTTGTCCTTGCATTATGATCTGTCCCAAATTACAATGGAATTATCTGCCCGTTTACTTCTTGAGTAGTTCACAGTCACACAAGGGTCCATTTGTGACGTCAATGAGGTTGTTGAAAGTGCTGTTTCCTTTTTTCTTTTGGGCGGTGCTGTTCCCAATAGAACGATGCTAATGGTGGGCTTTGATCTGTGAGAATTCAACAATTGTGTCGGTGGAGGATCGAGGGGCGAATGGTTGGTGCCAACCGTTGTTATTCATTGAAGTTTTATTGATCTACTGATGTAACCCTAATAGAATACATCATCTATGAACTGTTGACTACCGATCGTGTAATTGGAATTGATCTTTGATCAGAACCTCGGGGTTCCCCTGTCTACTAATCCTGAGGCGTGCCTTTTAAGGATAAGAATGGTGTTGCAATTAAATACTATATCAAATCCTTCAGGAATCCTGTATGCTCTAGGTTTGAGGCCTGAGGTTGATGTAGACATTGGTTATAGCATGCTTTTGGGCCTTAGTTGTTGGAATGGACTCCATTAATTTCATTTGGTGGCTCTAGGTACTATTTCATTTACATGGAGTTCAACTGATAGTTTGAAGGTGATCCACAAGGTGCCTAGGTTGGCCTCATCTTTGTTTATCCATATTTCCTGATGCTTATGTGATTATAAGATTATATATGCTTTGGCTAGCTTATGTGTCGTGGTCATACCTGCATGGCTCTTGTTGTGTTGTTCCATTGTCTATGGTAATTGAAACTATAATTATGTGATGTTGCTATTGCTTTCTGTGATTAAATACTTCCTGATTATAAAATGAAGTTTGTTGTATGGTATTAAGATGAGAAGTTCAAAATGGATTACATGGTGTGTATTGGGCTCAGTAAAATTTAAAACATGGGAATTTAGGTTATTTGGGTTCTTTTTTCCTCCCTGGGGGAGAGATATGTGATGCAATGCGAGCTTTGGCTACATGCTTTCTACATTTGGGCAGTTTAGCTTTTGCTTAGAAATTTTTCCCTGGACTGCCTGGAGAGGAGGGGGCATGGGTGGTGTGGTTTCCTGCTTTAGAAGGAACCTGAGATGGTGCACTTATGGAAGCCGGAATAGGCTATCATCCTAGAAGTCTTATAAGAGATTTTGGAAGTCTTGCAGGTTGTGTCGCTTCTAGTCACCTTCTTCCCAAGAGATGATCTTGGGGAAATGGGCATGATTTTCTGAGACTTTTCTGGATCTGGGGTATCAAAGCAGCGGTCATAATTCTCTTTGGTTGTCTGGTTACCTTAGATAACATTCTTACGATGGATACACCTCCAATGCCTAATGTTCGTTTCTTCTGTCGGGAGGTGGAGGAACTCATTGACCACTGTCATTTACATTTGTCCTTTTCACACATGATTAGAAGTTCTCAGGTCCATTGATCATGGAAGGTTATACACTCCATATCATCAGTGGGGTTCGCTGTGAGAGATTATCCCTGAGGATGAGTTCATATCACTATGTGATGTTCAGAACAGCTGAAGGAGATCCTATCTCTTCTTCCCATGTCTTCAAATGTCAGAAATGGGAGCAAGTAGGTGGTCCCATTCTCCCTATCCAGGTTGGGAAGACTGTTGCTTCCCCTGATTTTGTTTGGTTGCTGTCTGTTTTTTAATCTTTCTTATTTTTTTTTCTCTCTTATTTTTTTTTCTTTCGGTCATTCTCTTTAATTTTCTATCTTGCATGATTTCTATTGAATATCATTGTTATTTATTAACTCATGTATATGAATCTCAATAATACAAAGTTTCTTATTTGATATGAACTGTCATTCAAAAGATTTCAGTTGCTATTTGCATTTTATTGGAAAAGGTAACTTTTTACGGAGCTGTGTGGTGAGCATAGAACATACTATTCCACTTTGAAACTCAATTGTGGTAATCTTTACAACTGCAGATTTTCATTCATTTGATGCAAACTTTAGGGGATAAAAAAAGAATGGCAGAGAACACCAAGGGGAACTCCATCTCTCACTCGACTCCCTAACCAATTGAGATTAAACCATTCTTCACAAAAATCCATTTAGAGTGGACTTTTATAAAAATGTTTTATAGGAGTGCTTCTCAAAATAAGTTAAAAAAAGTAGATATTTTGAAGAAAATGAAATGTTACCATATTTTTAATTTTTTAAAGAACTTCCCAAAGAGACTTTTAAAATTTACCTTAAGTTTATTATTCTTTGTTATTTTTGTCAGATTAGTCATAGCTCATGGGATATTTTGCACTAATAATAATATATTAGTTGATTGCTTACATTGTGAAATGGCATTCTTTGTTTTCCTTGAAAGTTAATAGTTGACTGCTCCTCTTCACACATATACACAGAAATGTACATGCATACACCTGTTTTTTTAAACTCCATTTTTTGAGCCAAATCCAAACCATCCATGTTTTTTCACTCAACAATTTTCTTGGGCTTTGTTCTTTTTGACCCTTTTTCTTCACTCTGTTATTTTTGGACCAAAACACTATTAATACTGATTTTTTGGTTGAGCGATATATTGTTTGACATGTGTTACTGGGATGTAGCTAATGGACCCCTAAATCTTAAGATGATGGGCTAGACATGGCTGGAGGGCTGACTGTCTAGGATGTACGAAAAGCATTATGAAGGGATATTGATAGAACGCCAGGTTTTGAGAAAAAAAAAAAAAGTTGATGCAATGCCACTCATTTCTTGCTCCTTAGTTATATGTCAATTATATGCACTAAGATGCACCACTTTTGACATTAATCGGTCATTTTAACAACTTCTAAAAATTATCTAATGCAAAGAACTTTTGAGTTTTTGAAACATAAAAAAAATCAATATGCCTGGCTTGGTTTTCTTGGAATTATTTTATGTGGACCCTGCTCTATAATTCGTTAAGCAAACCACAGTATTGTGATTTGCCACTTTTTTCACTTGATGTTTCTTTGCGTGAGTTAAATGTCATTGGGTAGGTTGGCGATAGGATTTGAAGCTGTGACACAGTGCACGAGTGACTGTTTTGTTATTTTCCTCCTTTAATTTCATAAAATAAGAAGACTCTTCTAAAGGGCGTGGTCCACAACCAGGGTCATCATCATTATCATTTTAGCCTTTTCCCAATTAATTGGGGTCGGCTACATGAATCCTGGTTCTCCATTCTGTTCTGTTAGAGGCCATATCCTCAGTGAGGCCATAAGTCCCTATATCTTTGCGGACTACTTCCAACCAGGGTGATAAGTCCAAATGAAACTAATAGCAGGGCAATGAGTTGGTCTCTTTTTATTATTATTCTTTTATTTTTAGGAGACTTAATTTCTTTTGGCGAGAAAAAAACAGGGAGAACTATAAAAAAGTGCATTATTGGCTGCTTTGGTTTCAATACTTGGATCTTCTTGTGGGTCTAAGTTGGGTCAATTTGACTGATGAATTTCTGGATGGTTGTCCAATATGTTGCGGTGTGTTGGATTGTTTTTGTTATGATGGACATCTTTGACAGGTTTGAGGTTTTCTCTGCGACTCTACCTGTTATCTGTTTACGGTCTTTCTTTTAGGATGTTTGCTAATCGAGTTCAAGTTGCCATCTATGTATTATTTTTGAAGAGAAATTCCTGTAGTGTCTCTGCCCAAGAGACCCCTATGGTCTAAAGTCTAGAGTTTGCTTCTGGAAAAATAATGTTTGTAACAAAAAGCGCATCTTTGGTATGCTGCTGGATGGTTGGATGGACAAATATTTAAAATTTGTTCTACTCACATTATTGAATGTGAACTCTGTGCTCTAACCCCCTCTTAAAGGTTCCATCTGCAATTTCATTTCTGGATTATCAAGTTTTCTGGCAAAACCATTCCTTAAAAAAAAAAAAAAGGTTACCTGACAAAACCAATATCTTTGATACGATCAAATATTTAAAATATGCTCTCCTCTCACTTTCGAATTGTGAACTCTCTGCTCTAGTGTCCTCCTAGGGGTCTATCTACAATTTTGCTTCTTAATAAGCTTTTATATGTAATCCTTGTATGATGTACCTTTTAGAGAAAATATGTGACCTTTCTATATAAAATCCTATTGTAACAATTAAATTGTAAAACCCATAAAGAAATTCACACCTTTTAAAGAAATTCATTGGTAGAATTTGTCACTATTCCAGACCTGCATATATTTCAACAAATTCATTCCTTGGTTCTGAAGTTTCTGCCAATGATTCACTTGAGGACCTCCCTGTCAGTTATATACGATATCAATACTCTTCTATAGACAGTAATTCCTTTCCTGAAATCCTGGAAAGATCTGTTGACTATTTGATGCAATGCATCCTGATACTTATTTTATTCACCCAGATATGCAAAGTTTCTTGAGTTACCTGGTCTCATGGTCGTGTCCACATTCTGACGCCCATCAGAGTGAAACAATGTATTCTACTGACAGTGTACCAAGCACTTGTTCTTTCACCTTGGGCATCCTACTTTGAAGCGCAATAGTAGATTTTATGAAGCAGATTTTGTACTTCTACCTTGGCCTTGCTGAAACTGTTCTCCATGGCAACCAATTATTTGTTCTATCTATAATACATTTTTGGGCGTATTATACATAGATTGGGTGGTCACATTACTTATTCTTTATGTTCATAATGATGCAAACTGAACAGTCTTGACAGGGCCAGGGTCTTGTACCCATTTTATTTTAAATATAGTTCATGTATTCTTGCTCTTGAATCTAGAATAATTGGGTAATCTTCTCATGGCAGTTTCTCCATTGGTGTTGTTCTAATCTGCAATTAATTTGTCGTGACGATCATGAAGCATTAATGGGGTTGTGATTAACCTTCAAATCAGTTGCTGGTTTAAACTGAAGTAACCTATATTGACATGGATGTTTCATGTTTATGGCTTGTTTGATTTGAAATCCACAAAATAATGGGAGAAGTGATGAGCAATTCTGAGTTTTATACAATTGATATTCATTTTCTTTGCTGTAGAAGTATGCATCTCGACTTTCTTTGTCTCATATATGAAGTCTATTTTATTTTCTTTTCGTGATTTAGGCTTACCAAGAGGATGCCGAAGAGGAGGATGGCGATGCAATTGAAAAAGTATTATGGCACCAGCCTAAGGGAGTGGCTCAGGATGCCTCGATGAACAATCGTTCAATACAGCCAGTTGTATCAAGCTCCTTGTTGGACTCTGATGTTGACTGGGATGAAGTGGAATTTTTTATAAAATGGAAGGGGCAGTCACACCTTCATTGCCAGTGGCAATCGCTCGCCGAGCTTAAACAAGTGAGCTACTTAAGTTTTGTCCATAAATTTTTGTATTGATGTTTCCAAGGCATGGATTGTTCTTGCTCTTCATGAAAGGTCGTGGCTGAATCTTGATGCTAGAATTGGTTCTTTGAATCTTTAGAGGAGTGTACTTATCTTAGTGATCAATAATAAAAAAAATATTCTTACTGTCATTTCTCATGGCTAAATTTTGCAGCTCAGTGGTTTCAAGAAGGTTTTAAACTACATGAAAAGGGTGAAAGAGGAAAGAAAATACAGGAAGGCGCTGTCCCGTGAGGAGGTATTTTCTGACCGAACATTTTCTTGGATTGGAGGTTGTAAGCATCACATGATTGGTGAGGGAAACATGCAACATAGTCTGACTTACCAGAGAAATAATGATTTGTTGAGTTCTTTTATTTCTGAAATTGATTAGCTTTTATGCTGTCGAAGTTTCTGATTTTTGTGTTGCTCAAGTTTTAGTCTAGAGAGGCTGCTCAAGCTTATATGATGCCGTATCCCAGTCTCCTATGCTGGAATCATTGGAGTGATCTCGGGGCCTATTATTCTTTGTTACTATAGTCTCTTGGAGACACTTTATTTAACATATTCTTCTCCCTGTTGCCCACTTGTCTTCTTCGTTTCCGTTACTTGGCTCTGTGTATCATTGAGTAGGCTGTGTTGTTATGAGTATGACTTGCACTTTTTCATGCTACATCATTACAGTTTCGTTTTATGTTGTCTTCAGTACATGACATTTATGTAGTTTGTATGAGTCGAATTACCTAGCTGATGCATTGACAGTGCAAGTGCCATTAGTTTTTCTATGCCATTGTTTTGTCATTTGATGGGGTCTCTCTGTTGTCAGAATGCAAAGCGAAGCTTTAAGAATTCTGATCACTTTTTGCACTTTGTTAAGTATTATTTGATGTGAAATCTTGCTCTGGGCTGGAGGTGAAGGGGGAATTGATTAGGTTTGATGATTAGTGTGACGGTAAATGATGTTTGCTGTCTTTCCCATCCTCGTTTGAATTGCTTATTCTTCTCTTCACTTCTAATTTATCAGGTTGAGGTGCATGATGTGAGCAAGGAAATGGAATTAGACCTACTCAAGCAATATAGTCAGGTTTGATTTAGTTTTTTTGGCGTAATTGTTTAGTCTCTTATGTGTGTGAATTGATCTGTTATTTTGTATGAAATATCAGGTGGAAAGAGTTTTTGCAGATAGAATAATGAAAAGTGGCTCAGATGACGAGGTTCAGGAGTATTTAGTCAAGTGGCGGGGGCTCTCTTATGCTGAAGCCACCTGGTATTTGCCTCCTTCATTTTTATATGCAGATAATAAATAATATGGGTGTACTCCACAGAGTTATTATATCATAGTTGCTCCCAATCTCCTCTCTTGCCTCTTTCTTTTTTCTCTTTATCTTTAGAAGGGTTGTGTTTATCTCTGGTAGTTTTACATAGAAATTCTTGATATGTTCTGCAATTTCATTTCTTTGTGATTGCTTTGGTTTTAGCTCCTAGATGATGGATTTTGATTTTTTCAGTTGGGTCAATTAATGCCCTTATCATATAAATTCCTTTATCCTTTTTGATTGCTTTTGGGTCATTGTATTGCAGGGAGAAGGATACTGATATTGCCTTTGCTCAAGATGCAATTGATGAGTACAAAGTACGACCCTTTTGCAAAACTCACATGCATACAAGTCTCGAAACACATTATTCATATAAGGACTGAGTTTTATTTTGTTCACTATTAGCTTGGGTGAAATTACTATTTTGCTCCCTGCACTTGTCCTTCAAAAATTTGTCAGTATCTTTGGTTGGACTAGAAAGCAGTATTGTTATGTTTGAATTTAATGTTGATTTCGCTTACTTATAAATAGAGTGCTGGTTTGGCGATCTATGTTTTTAGTAAGTCTCATATTTTTTATTCTGCCATCCAAAACATGGATGGCAATACCAGTCAGTCACTGATGTTTTTGATTTAGTCAAAACCAGTGGTTTAAAAATCGGCGCGTCAACCTGGAATCGCCCGGGTCGACACGAGAATCGGCTTGCCCGTGCCAATTCCTTCGCAATATCGGAAACCGGGCGAGTTTAGAGAGGAATCATTGATTCCCACCGGAAACCGGACGAGTCTAGAGAGGAATCGCCGATTCCCGCCGATTTACTGTTGTAAATTGGCAAAATATCCTCGATTCTCAATAGTAGACTCGCAGGGTTATCTAGCTAGCAGACACGTGGCAACCCACCTCACGCGTGCCGAGCCACAATAACGCGTAACACATCGTCCCCGTACCTCCACATGCACGATATTTGTCTATTATGTTCTTATTTATAGAGCTTTGTAGTGTTGTCGTCCTTCGATGTGGGACAAAATTAGAGTTGCATAACTAATAGAAGGTAAATATTTATTACAACATTGAAAGCATAATGTGACGAATTGGTGGAGGAGGTTAGCTCTGAGGATTATGGCCTGCGCTTCCCACCATCAATTCCTCCCGTGTGCAATTCAAGATTATCACCCACCGTGCCCCTTTGGGCCTTTATTTTTAAAAAATGTAAAAGAAAAAAAATCATGTTGTAAAAAAAATAAAAGGAAAAAAATAAAAAATAGATGAAAAAAAATCATGTTGTAAAAAAAATAAAAGGAAAAAAATAAAAAAATAGAAGGTAATACAACAAGCATTTTTGGTAAAAAAATAAAATAATACATCTTTTATTTTTCTTGTCAAAAAAAAAAGAAAGTAATATGACGTATTTCTTGTCTTATTATTATTATTTTTCTTGTAAAAAAAAAGGAAGTAATATAACGTATTTCTTGTCAAAAATAAAATAAAAGATAATACAAAAAAAAAAATGTAGTACAACATCTTCTTAATTTTTTTGTCAAAAAATAAAATAAAAAGTAATACAACAAGTATCATATTTTTCTTAGCAAAAAAAAAAAAGGTAATACAACAAATATTTATTGTCAAAAAAAATAAAAGATATTTTATTGTAAATACAACAAGTATTTCTTAATTCACCCTAGGAATAAATGATGTAATATTATAGTTAGTTAGGTTGTCATGATACACTCTAGGGCACCAATCCGTTTTTTAAACCACTGGTTTATTCCATTTGAAATCTCTCTTTTTACTAACAATCTCTTCTACTAAATTTATTCTAGAAATCTAAAAATTTAAAATTTTGAAAATTAAAGTGTCATTTTGAAAATTGGTACACATTCTAATAATTTCTACATTGATAACTAAATCTTTTATTTTATTTATTAATTTTTGCATTATAAATCATGTAATGTACTATTTTTCTTAGCGTTGTCAATAATACATTTTAAATTTGATGATATTATAAAATATTTTGGATTTGTTATTATTTGTATAACAAAGTAATTATAAAATGTAAACCAACAATTTTAATTTCAGTATGTAATATTATAGTTAGTTAAGTTGTAATAATTTTGGATTATAGTTAGTTAGGTTGTAATAATTTGGGTTTTTTTAGCGGATTAGGGTTTTCCGCCAATTCAAAATTTTAGTGGCCATTTTTTTATCGATTTAGTCTACTCTTTATTGTAGTCCATGTATGATTATATACTTTGTCCATGATAATTCTTTGATTTTTCTTTTGTGTGATGTAAATTAAGTAGTTAACATAAGTTTATACGGGGAAAGAACATCTCACTATTCACAAAATGATGAAAAAAATGAAAGTTAACAATGTAGTACCGTCATTTCTTATTGGATTCCTAAAAGGCAACATTTATAATGAATTTTAATAATTTTTTTGGATTTGTTTTAAAGCTTAATTCGACCGAGCTGGTCGATTCTCGATCCGGATCGCTGATTCACAGATCCGGATGGGTTTTTGGAGTGCCCGATCCAAGTCACCGATCCGTTTTTTAAACCACTGGTCAAACTGATTCTGTTGATATGTGTTGAGTGTTGACTGTTGAGCACTAATATCATTGTGAGGTGGGTTTAGTTGGGGCTTTCTCTAGGCATGTGAGGATTTAACCAGGTATATTTTGTCTGGATTCATAAGATGTAGTAAGAAAATAGGAATATATTCACAACAAATATCATGTATGTTATACCTGTTCTAGTTGGGATGGGGCTTCAGATGATGATGATGATGATATGTTATACCTGAGTTTTTTTAGTGGTTCTTAGTTTTTAATCTCGCCTTTATGAGTTGCTTCAGCACAAACATGACCTGGACTTTTAACAAGATGGGAAAAAATAGAACCCATTGATTGTTGAAACTTGGATTTCTACCAACTGTTGACTATCAGAGGTACAAGTGCTTTATTCTTTTGTAATCTTATTTCTGCTATTCTTCTGTAGTCTTATCTATTTATATAGAACAAGCCATAGGGATATGCTGCCTCTTACTGGCCAATATCGTTTACTGCCCTTCCTTTTTGTTGTGGGAAGTTGTTTGGTTGCATTTCATTTGATTCATAATTTTTAAGTTCCTCTCTCTTCACTCTATGGGGCCTTCATGCTTCTAGTTCACCCTGTCAATGTTTATATTAGCCAATCACTGCAAAAACAGATAATTGAGTTTAAATATACGATGCTCCACTTTGTCATTTCATTTTTGTTTTTGGTATTACTGGGAAGTTCTGATGTGGTTTGAGGCCACAGCATAATGGGAAGGCTCATGATGTTGCAAGAATGAGATTGTGGATTTGGACACCATTGATATACCAGGAAAATTTTTGATGTTATCTAGGAAAGATCTTTTCTGATCAGTGATGGCTTGGTTTTTAAATGGTTGACTGTCTTCTTTTGTACTACTTTTTATTTTTCTAAAGTTGCTTTGTTATTTTTGCTTATATTGTCCTAGCTCTTCATTGAATGCTCAAAACTATGTGATTCCTTGAGATCTCTGGAGTCTCTCATTTATATGTTCTGACCAGGCCCGTGAGGCTGCAATGTTTGTCCAAGGAAAGATGGTGGATGGCCAGAGGAAGAAAAGCAAAGGTCTACCCTTTTTACTTATTTGCTTTATCAATTTCCTTACGGGTAGGATAACTAGTATATGAATCATTTGATTATGGATGCTTAATCTCTTGTTTAATAAAGTATATCCAATTGTGCCATGATAAGCATGTACTTTGCATCATGGTGAATGAGTGTTTGGGTTTGCAGGTTAGGTGATCCAAGTCCCCCCCCCCTCGCTCTTTTTTTTTAGGAACAACTATAGGCAATTTGACCCATTAGAAGTTCTAATCTTAATGTGATCTACGTTTGACCAGGGCTTGAGCGTAAAAATCTTCCCCCCAATTGAGCGCAAAAAAAGGATGTTTCGCAGCCTTTTGATTTGTGATAGATTCAAGATTCTTTTTCTTCTTGTTAATATACTTTTTGGGAGTTAATGTTCAACAAAAAACAAAAAAACCTTTTTGGGAGCTTTCCAATGGCTATCTGGTTATGATTGAAGCCTGCCCAGATTCTGGGCATGTTCTTTTTTTTTGCAATACTGAAAAAATTGTATCATATTAAATGTTCTACTGTTTCCATTCTGCGCTGTTACATCTATGTTATTGGTTTTTACTTTTCAAAGTTCACCACTTGCTTTCAGAAAAACTATTCATGGCTTACTTCCTCTGTTAGTTTGTCTTTTCTGGATCTATAATTGCTGAAAGATGTTGCTTATTATGTAATGTGATTGTCAAATGACTTTTCAAAACCTTTCTGTCACCGTTCAGCTAGTCTGCGCAAGCTTGTTGAACAACCTGAATGGTTGAAAGGTGGTACCCTTCGTGATTACCAGCTTGAAGGCTTGAACTTTTTGGTTAACAGGTAGCTATTTTCTTGTCTATTTCGCCATCTTAATTTGACTTCGCGAGCAACTTTCAAGTGGGAAAACATGGAGTTTGAGAGCTGTTTAGTATCACTGCAGCCTGTTTAAAAATTTCTTTTCTTATTTCTCTCTCTAATATAGCTTTATGTGGGTGTCTGCATACATGTGTCTATATTTTGACCTCGTCTCTTGAGAAAAATGTACTTAGCAGTTGGTTATTTCCAGTACAGTTGGAGGAATGATACAAATGTCATTCTAGCTGACGAGATGGGGCTCGGTAAAACTGTTCAATCAGTTTCAATGCTTGGTTTTCTTCAGGTACTTCTGTTGTTTAATATAGTTGCGTTTTTATTATTGGATGTATTTAGGTAACTTATAGAGATTTTCTTGCATATAATGCTCAACAAATTCATGGGCCGTTTCTTGTAGTTGTCCCTTTGTCAACTTTGACAAACTGGGCTAATATAGTTGCTTTTTTATTATGGGATGTATTTAGGTAACTTATAGAGCTTTTCTTCCACAGAATGCTCAACAAATTCATGGGCCGTTTCTTGTAGTTGTCCCTTTGTCAACTTTGACAAACTGGGCTAAGGAATTTCGAAAGTGGCTCCCAGAAATGAATGTAGTCGTTTACGTTGGAAATCGTGAAAGCAGACGGGTGAGTTATGCTCATTTTTAAAATCTGAATATGAATGTCAGTGAAAAATGTGATGCAATATGAGTTTCGAGGTTCATTTGAATGTGATTCCTTGAGGTGTTACAGTTTATGTCACGTTTGACTGTATTTTACTCCCTGGATATTGTAAGATGGTCAAATTAAGTTTTGTACTGGTTTAGGTCCTGCCTTTCCATAGAACAGTTACTGAAAAGAAACGGCCAAGTGGTTGTTTCTTTGGGTAGTTGTGGAATAGTTGGTCTTGGATGTTGGTAGACACAATACTATTCATCAGATTATTAGGTGTAAGCTTTGTTATTTCTAAGGCACCAAAATGTGTTCATAAATGTGTAAATATACCATCCACTCCTTAGGATGAGTTGTGTAATCCCAGGGGCCCTTTCTCCTGTTTTCAAGGAAACTTGGGATTGTTCTTTGAAGGTCTTTATGCAAATGTATAACCTTGATATGCCTTTTATTATTTGCAACTAGCCTGTGGCCTGTGCTATGCGTGGGGCAATAAGCAAGAGAGAAAACTTACGTGATATAGAAGAGAGGGAACTGAAGAGTAGTTAATTAACTCCCATTTTCCATCTCTTGCTTGGTTCTGAATTAGGATAGCTATTTTTGGTTTTAGAGTGTATTTTGGGAATTAGGGAAGTTATAAAGAGAGGTGTCACCATATGATATGTGTACCTGTGAGAGACTTGCATATGCTTCCCTGTTAAGTGACTAGCATAGATTTATGAGATATTTTCTTTCTATCATGTTTGTTTCAATTCTAATTTTGTCCTGGATTTGTTTTTGAAATTCCTACATCCTTTTGGGGAGATCAATTGTCTTTTATTTCTCCCCCCTTTTTATATCACTAAGCTGCACTTGGGAAAGCTTCCAGAATGGAGTCTGGTGCATAATGCATGAGATAGTGTTGGCGATCAATGCTAGGTGTTTGGGAACTCACAATCTCATAACCTGTGCACTTAGCAGCATCTTGCATTCTACTAAAAAAGGAGTCCCATCCCCCTTTTCTGTCAACTACACGGCATGTAATTGAATGCAGCCCCTAATCCATGACATCCACAATTTTATAAGTCAATACTGGTCTGAAATGAAGGCTATACTGAGTTTGATATTTGCACCTTGGGTTTCTGGTTAGCTTCATTTTTTTACTGTTGGTTTTCTTATAGGTACATCATTTTACCCTAAGGATTCAAAAGACTCTTCCATGTCATAATTTTCTTTATTACTTTTTTTTCTGTGTTGGTGATTAATGCTCTTCAATCTCATTACGAAACATGTGCACCGGTTAGATATTCTGACCAGTCCACCATTGAAGTTCTAAAGGAGATGGGTCAAGCTTCGTTGAAAGTAATATTTGCTCACAGAAAGAAAATGACAACCTTTTTTTTTTTTTCATTATCAAAAAAAGAGGGGAGTAAAAATAAGTTTATCTACCACAAAATCACAAGGATGCTGAATCATCAGCTTTATGAGCTGTTCAATAGCATAATCAATGGCATAATAAATGGTGGGATCTGCGTATTAAAAATCAGACCGGTGGGTGGAACTTGTGACCACAGGCCCAAGTTGAACCATCGAAATTGCCAAGTTAGATTGGCCGGCTTGGCCAAATTTTTTTTTAAAAATAAAAAACTGAGAAAATAGAGAAAAATGGCCAAAAAACAAAGAAAAATATAAAATCAAAGATGGAAAACCATTATTTTGTTTCATATACAAGGAGGTATAAATCAAAATCAAATAAAAAATTAAAATAAAAAAAACACTTTGGGAAGATGGCAGCAAGAAAGGTCTAAAAAAACAAGAAATGTCAAAGGCTTTTGTACATCATTTTGGTAGGAAAATTGTGGGACAACCTTGATTTAATTTGGTGAAAAATGAGAGAGATTGCGGATTTTTTATTTCGGATCCAAGAAACCCTCAAGATTAGGACTCTCAATTTCTTCTCTGTTACTTTTTTATCCAACAAATTGTTATCAGAGAGATCCATTACCAACATTTTGAATCAAATTGTATATGATTTTATTGCGAAATGAGAGAGAGAGAGAGAGAGAGAGAGAGAGAGAGAGAGAGAGAGAGAGAGAGAGAGAGAGAGAGAGAGAGAGAGAG